GGGGGAGGGGAGGGGCTGGCGGTTGCTGACTTTTGTCTCTACCCCGGACACTTTAGGCGCCCCTCCCGGGACAGCCTGATAGCCATGGTGTGTCAGGACGAGGCCCCTCGGGATGAGACTTGTGACCTGAGGATGGATGAGGACGCCGAGTACGGCAGCGAGCCCAGCCTGATCTGCACGGAGATGTGAGCTTTGCCCTCTCCGGCTGCCCGAGAAGGGGAGGGTAGGGGGTGACGGGCGGGTCCCTGGAATCCTCCTCTGGCAGCAGCAAAGCAGAGGAAGCCCCCCACCCTCATGCGCACGGTCCCCTCGTTGGCTTGGCGCTTCCTCATGACACGATGTTTTCAGGAAAACTGCTAAACGTTGTTTCCTAGGCTTTCTTGACACGTGTACATATTGACAATTAAATATTCGTGAAACTGCCTATAATAAAGCTGCCAGCAGAGGGCGCTGTTGTCAGCCGTAGCTGAGATTTCCATCGCAGCCGGAATTTTTTAAGAGAAGGGTTTTTAAACTGCAGATCCAGACCCATTAGGAAGCTGTGACATTTGCTTAGTCGGTTACAATCAACACTTTTAAAAGAAATCATAGCACAGAATAGCATAGAATAGGCTAGAAAAGGACAATAGGAAATAGCGTATTCAAAGTCACAAAGGTATTGTTATTTTGTGACGCATTTGTTGCCAAGTCCCATAAAATGTATTTGTGACTGTGAGTTGCGTTCACAAAGCTGACCCTGTGTTAGAAGATTTCCTGAGAGGAACACTTTATCACAAGGAAGGACCAGGCCTTTCAGCTTTCACGGTTCAGAGGATGCAGGTTAACACATGGCCACATACCCGAGAAGTCAAGAAGAGCATCTGTTCCCACCATCTAGGCTCTTGGCGCGTGCTTGGTACTTGCAGGCCCTCTGCTAGATGGTGGACGAACCGGCCTCGGCACCCACGGGAGGCCACAGGCTGGTTAAGGAGCTAAGAGGACCTCAGAGGAGGAAAATAAAGATTTCCTCAGCAGCTGCTCACAGAGTGGTGCAGATGGCGAGAGTACAGACGCTCAGAGAAGGTCAAGTTCGGAGAGAGGCACCAGGCACGAGGTCACACAGAAGCTGGGGCTTCAAGAGTGGTTACGGTCTGGATACGAAGAAAATGTAACAGGGAGGGTGACCAAGCTGAACATGACAGGCAAGCACAGTGGCTTTCGTCCAGAACCCTCCCTGCATGTCTGCAAATGCTTGCAGGAGCACAGGCTCTGTCCTCGAAGTACGTGGAGTCACACCAGGCACAGGCGGTGGCCTCGTCTGTGACACGAAGGGCTTAGAACACAAGCGGGCGTCTGGGGTGCAGATGGCTCCACTAGGGGTTGCAAAATCAACTTAGGGACTGCAATGGCTTTTTTCAGTGAAATAGCCCAGGCCAAGGTAGAACAGAGGCTCTCGGGTGCAGCGGATTCAGGGAAGGTAATCATGGACCCGAGTCCAGCCCTTGGGCACGTCTGTCGTGTGCCCTGGGCCAGGAGGAGCCGTTTCTCACTGAGCTCCCGTTAGAAGGCCCAGGAGCTGTTGACTCACTAGACACCCCCAAGGGCCCACAGCTGCCCCTCACCGATGACCGCACGTTCGCGCTCTTGCTGACCAAGGGTGGGCAGGCCCGGAGAGTGAGGGGGCACAAGCGTGGCCTCGCGCTGGGAGTGGCCGTGGTAGACGGCATCCGCCTGTGAGCACGCCAGTGCAGAGAGGAGCTGCAGGCCCAGAATTTGTTTCCAGCTTTCTCAGCAGCGGTGGTCCCCCTGCCTCGAATCACAAGTGCAGGAGGACGCACGGGGCACAGGCGGAAGGAGCCGCGGGAACATCTGTGACAGCAGAGAGCGTGGCCTTTAGAGAGCACAGAGTGGGGGTCCCCTCACTAGGGAAAAAGCAGGCTGCCCGGAGGTTACAGTGCCCAGTGTCCTCTGCTCCAGGCTCTCCTACCAGGACGACGAGAATCGGCAGCTGGCGCCCCCTGAGGAGGACAGGAGAGACATCCATCTCTCTCCGAAGAGGGGCTTCCTGCGCTCCGCCTCCCTAGGTAACCTCAGACCCTCTCTCTAAAGGTGACCACCCCCCCGTGACGGTGGCCAGGCACACAGGGGTGACTGAGGAACGTCATCTCGTGGGGCTCAAGTGGCCCACGGTTGGGCTGGACCCGGACTGGACGTGTGCTAATGCGGCACCTCAGTGAGGGGCCCAGGGCGGGGGGAGGGGGCATCCTTGCCCCTCCCTTGGTGTGAGCTGTCGGGGCCGTGTCATCTTCTTCTCTCTCTTTTTTTTTTTTTTTTTTTAATATTTATTTATTTGGTTGTGCCGGGTCTTAATTGTGGCTCACCGGCTCCTTAATTGCAGCATGCAGGCTCCTTAGTTGTGGCATGCATGTGGGATCTAGTTCCCTGACCAGGGATCGAACCCGGGCCCCTTGTATTGGGACCACAGAGTCTTATCCACTGCGCCACCAGGGAAGTCCCCCGTGTCATCTTCTGTGCTGACCCATCACTTGCTCCGCAGGTCGAAGGGCCTCCTTCCACCTTGAGTGTCTGAAGCGACAGAAGAATCCAGGGGGAGACATCTCTCAGAAGACAGTTCTGCCCCTGCATCTCGTTCACCATCAGGTAGCCCCCACTTTGGGACAGGCCACAGGCCACCACCGAGCAGGCTAGACAACCCCGTGATGATCGTGCACCAAATCCCCCAGATGCCCATCAGCCTTCCTGTCCAGACCACAGCTGTGTCCCCACCCCTGGCCCTAACAGCCCCCGGGGAGGGGGCTCTTCCCACACGAGGACCGTGCTCTCCCGGACGGGAGACCCGGGAGGTCCTCCTGGACAGCAGGAGCCCCTCTGGAGGCTGGAAGGACCAGCTGCTCCGGGTCGGCCTGAGCATTCTCCTCCCAGTGGCCAGATGTTCCCTCCCCAGACATGGCTACACGACAGGCAGGTGCGGTCATACCTAGAGCCATAAGACACCTGGACATTTAGCTACACAAAAATCCACCCACTGGAATATGGAAATGACCAGAGAGTGTTCCAGCAGCGTGGTCAGGGACAGGGATGATGTCAGGAAGGCGGGTCCAGGCAGATTCAGCAGTTGAACCGGCTCTTGGCCTGGGTGATGCCAAAAGATGGCGAGATCCAAGACCCCAGCACCAAGCTGCTCTTAGGACCATAGAACTGACGGAGATTTCCAACAATTAGGGGCTGAACTAGATTCTCCCACCTTCTTCCCTCTGATTACACACTCCCTTACCACGGGCCTCTGCTTTAAATGACTTTTTTATCCCCAAAGGCATTCAGTGCCAACCACAGCTTACAGTCGGCATAAGACAGCCAGCGTGGCTCTGCCAGGGCGATGGTATTTCTGCTCAAGGAAATACACGATTTTGCTCAGCCTGTGTGCCATCGCACGAATACGCGTGGTCTCCACAGGGCTTTCTGGAATGTCGAGCAGAGCCTTACGCTTCCCTCAGATGCCCAGGGACCCAGGACCCCAGACTGGGGGCCCTTGAGAGCAGTGGGCAGGGAGGCCAGCAGGCTGGGGGACACCGCGTGGGCTTCTCTGAGAGATTTCTAGAAGCTGATTTCACCCGTCTCTGCTTATCGTGCTGGAAGGAAAACCTCCCTCGATTTACAGCCTCCCCCTATGCTTCTGAGCTGCCCTCTGACCCTTGCGGCCACGTCCCACCCTCTCTGCCCCTCGGGCTGAGCCTCCCCACCAGGCAGTGCTGCTTCCTTGGACCCATCACGTCAGAGCAGGTGGAGAGGATCCGTGGCTCACGGGGGAAGGGGCCAGGGCTAGAGAGCAGGTGACCTGGATCCCACTGGCCCGTGGCTTTCTGAGCTTAGAGGAGAAAGATCCCTGCAGACTGACGGTCACAGAGTCTATTTAGGGCGGTTGAGACCAGCTCCAGGTCCGGGTGCCTGACCGAGAGGGTGCGAGCATTGGGCAGTGGGACACGGCTGAGGCCCCCTGACCCGCACTCTCGTGTCGTGTCCACAGGCGCTGGCGGTGGCGGGCCTGAGCCCCCTCCTGCAGAGAAGCCATCCCCCTGGCGCCCTCTCCCCGCCGCATGCAACGCCCCCTGCCACGCCTGGCCCGGCCTGGCCCCTGCGGCCTGTGCCCACCTTGCGGCTGGAGGGGGCTGAGTCCAGTGACAAGCTCACCAGCAGCTTCCCATCCGTCCACTGCGGCCCCTGGGCCGGGGAGCCCACGCCCTGTGGGGCCAGCGGCGGCATCCGGAGGGCCCGGCCCGTGTCCCTCACTGTGCCCAGCCCGGCAGGGCCCCAGGGCCGGCCCTTCCACGGCAGCGCCAGCAGCCTGGTGGAGGCGGTGAGTAGGCTGAGCCACGCGGGCCGGGCAGGGGCCCCACGGGCAGAATGGAGGGGCCCTGTGGGGTGTCAAGTGTCCTGGCCAGAAAGACCCTCAGTCAGGTCTCAAGTCCACGTGAGCGCCCAGCCCGGCCGAGGAAGGGCGGTCACACTGGCCGGGGAGCAGGGGAGCCATGGCGGGGGCTGTGAGGGCACGTGGGGTGGGAGCCGCGGGCGGGGGCTGGGGTGTATTCCAGGCTCACCTGCTGCTCCCCGAGGCCGCCAGGAAGGGGGCAGACGCTTCGGGACAGAGCGGGCAGGGGCCGGGTGTGTCCTGCACATACATGCGTGCACGCACACACACACACACACACACACACACACACACACGCATCGTCCCCGGGATCCTCACCCCCAGAAACGCAGCCAGCGGCACTGGGCCAAGTGTCACCAGAGGAGACTGAAGACTCCTGGAAAGAGTCATGTGGGCGTCCTGGGGCGCCGGGTGGGTGGGAGGGAAGGACCAAGGCCCCTGTGGCCTCCGTGCGCCCAGGCTGCCTGCGTTTGAGGACGGTGCCCCTGCCCCGCCGTCTCTCCTCTGGCCCGCACGCCCCTCATGCTCGCAGAGGTGCTCCGTCCCACTCCTGCCCGGTGCGCAAGCACACACACGTGTACTCACGTGATGCACACACACACGAGCACACGCACACGCATACACACACTCTCCTCCCGAAGTGACCAGTCGGAATCCCCTGCGCCGGCCCCGAAGGGAAGAGCCGGGCTCAGGAGTAACGCCGTCCCGGCCCCCTCTCCCCCAGGTCTTGATCTCAGAAGGACTGGGGCAGTTTGCTCAGGATCCCAGGTTCCTCGAGGCCACCACCCAGGAGCTGGCCGACGCCTGCGACATGACCATCGAGGAGATGGAGAGCGCGGCCGACAACATCCTTAGCGGGGGCGCCCGGCAGAGCCCCAACGGTACCCTGCTCCCGTGTGCAAACTGCAGGGACCCAGGGCCAGACCGAGAGGGGGGCGCGGAGGACGCGGCCTGGGCGCCCAGCCCCGAGCCCCACCAGGGCGGAGAGGAGTCCCGGGACAGCAGGGCCTTCGCCAGCAGCCTGTAGCAGCCGGGCCGGAGATGCCGGGTTTTTATTTGTCTCCATGTTCCTAATGGGTCCGTTTCAGAAGTGCCTCACTGTTCCCGTGACCTGGAGTTAACCGGAACAGCGTCTTCATTCACTTCGTAGGGACAAGACCGAGTCGGCGGCCAGGAGAGAAGCAGCCGCGGTCCGTGTCCGGCGGGGAGCGGTGGGGGGAGGGCGCGGGCACCAGGGAGGGCCCCCCCACCCCCCGCGGCCGCCTCGGCTCCCTCAGCCCTCACCCAAAGGACCCTACGCCAAACGGGTGTCTTTCAACTCTGCTTGTCAAGAACTCGTTTTGCACATATTCTGTACGAGCCTCACCGTCCCCATAGAGCCAGGGCCCTGTGCCTTCACGGAAGGAAGGAGGCCCCGGCCAGGCCCTGGGGAGGGGAGGGCGCTGCAGCTCCAAGCCAAGGCTGGCCACCGCCCCCTGCGCCACCCGTGTCTGGACCCCCTTCCCACTCGGCCACGGTCACGGCCACGCCGCACCGTTGCCGCCGGGGGAGCGGGCACGCCCGCCGGGACAAGACCGGTGGTGCTGAGCGTCTGTCCAGCGCTCTTTTGTTTGGGGATTTGACATTTTTCTTCACAGCATGTTGCAGTTTTCATTTGGGGGGTTTTGTTTTTTTATACTTTTGTTTTCCCAGGGGGAGGGGAGGGAGAAGAGTGTTTACAAAGTTTTGCAGCCACCCACCTTACCGTTTTCACTTTTGCAAATGTAAATCGGGTTCAGTTTTGTTGTATTATTTAACGGTCGTGGTTTCCTTTTCTACGGAGGATTCAACAGAGCTGCCGTGGGAGAGTTTTACCAGCCGTGGTGTGTGCCCAATAGTTTGTTATCATTTCCTTAGGTAGTGACAAGATTTCTTCGGTTTGGTTTCATAATTTAAAGGTGATCAGCAATGCACTTGGTAGGGTCTTGCACAAATGTGTGTAGTAGCGCGTGCCCGAGAGAGGAAGCAGCACGGGGTCTCAGCGAGTGTGTGTGCCGTGTGTACGGTGGGGTGTGTGTGTGCGGGCGTGGGCTGAGTCTGCAGCCACGCCGCGCCCGGGCCGCCAGTCCGCCCGCAGTTCCCCTTGGGGCTTAAGGGTGGGGAGCTGTAAATCTGGGGCTGTTTGAAAGCAAAAGCAAACCACTGTCTCTGCTTCTGAAACGGGAATCAGTAACTGCATTTTCTGTCCCACAAGATATGCAAAAACAATGCAATAATATTCATTTTAAAAACACAGTTGTGAGTTGTGTTGGCATTAAAACCGTGTTTAAAAAACCACACAGAAATGTAAGGGGGAAACTCAGAAGGCGTTTTGCCTCGATTTGTTCCGTGTAACGTTTCACTGCATTGATGGTGTTTCTGCTGAAGAGGCCGTTATACTTGAATTCAGGTCAGTCTCAGTATTTTACAAATATTTTTTTAAAACTGAATTGCAATTGTGCCAGGCGAATATAATGAATTAAGTTTGTTTTTGGATTCACTTCTTGTATATTTGCTGCATGTAAGTAAATCATTTTGTATTTGGAGTGTGACAGGCTTCACCTTTGAGCTCGTAAGTGCTTTTCTACGTGTGGCTGGGGAAAAAGGGGACAGCTTTTCTTGTCATTTGTGTGACAAGTGCCGGCACTACCCGTGTGGGTCCCGATGCAAGCTTGGGCATCACTGTTTTGCATGTCTTGTGTTCTCTTCCATTTCCCTCAGTTTTCCCCAGACGGGGTAATAGGTGCATCCGTGTCTTGCTTTGAGAGACCAGGACCCGTCTTTTTCCCGCGCCACTCTGTCTGCTCTGCCCTGGTTTTCAGAGTTGGAATTTCTCCGGGGAGAGCCCTGCACTGTGAGGGGCCGTGAGGCGCCCTAAGCCGCCTCTTTGGTCACCGGGTCCCCCCTGGGAAAGGTGGCTGACCTTACCCTTCACCACCCCCCGCCCTGGCACAAGCGTTCCTTAGGGAAGTGCCCATTGACAGGGAGAGCGGAGGGGAGGGGTCCTCAGCCGACAGCAGGGGCCGGAGCCAGGCAGCAGGTGCATCCTGTCCGTCCAAAGCCAAGTCCGTCCTGCTCGCTTCTCCATCTTTCACTCATTCTGGAACAGGATGTCCTCCAGCCCACCCCTCGCGGTACGGCAGCCACGGAGGGACAAGGACCGGGGGCGGGCGGTGCGTGGGGAACTCGTGGTGAGGGCAGGGCCGGAGGCATTGTGGGGGCGTCTCTCTGCCCCTGCACCCACCTGGACATCACCCGGGTGCTACATCCTTCAAACAGGTTCCGACAGTGACTGATTCGGGGGAAGCAGGACCCAACTGTTCATCCAGACCTTCCCCATTGAGTCTCTTCCAGCCCCGGGCTTGCTCAGCCCTTCTTGGCGCTGACTTACATGAGCAACTTAGAAGTCAAAGCCGGGCAGCGCCCACTGCTCCGTGAAGATGAGTTTTCCTGTGGTGAACAGATGCGCATGCCCCCAGGTGAACACATACAAGGGCTGCTCCCTATTCCTCCAAGCCCAGCCCTTCCAGTCTCTGGGCTCCTTCTTGGTGCCATCGAGGTCTTGTAGGAGTTACATTCAGGTCCCTTGTCCCGTTTCCCTTCTGCCGCGGCTGCTAGGGTCTTAGTTCTGATGGAGAGCGGAGCCCTTTGAGGTTGATCCCCAGCTCTTGCTGTGCATTTGGCCCCTGGATAGAGCCGTGGACTCTTAGCTGACCTCACACACGCCGGCACACACTCGGCCTTCTCGTGCTGTCTTCTGTTTTCCTTCTGGGCTTTTCGTCTGTGTCACCGAATCTCAGCGACCGGCTTGTGCTGGGCTTATGCCAGCTACTCCCAGGGCTCCACCAAGCGCATCCCCCCCCATCACCGCGCGCACTGCAGGCGTGCTCCTCCTTTGCCGTCAGCTCTGTCTCTGTCGGGAAGACCCATCGAGTGGGGGGGGGGGGGGCTTCCCGGGCCAGAGCTCAGGACCAGAGAGGGTGGGACGGACACGCGGCACCCGTCCTCCCAAGCCTCATCTGTGGCGCGGCCTCCACCTCTGCATCCAAAACAGAATCTTCCCATGACCCTGGAAAGCAGAACTGTTGTGTCTTCTGAAGCCCTTGAGCAGCAGGAGAAAAGCCATGATGGCCAAGGACCTGAGGCACTTGAGGAGGTTAGGCTCAGGGCTTGGTGAAGCTGGTCTGTGTGGAGTTTAGTCTCAGGGCTTGGTGAAGCTGGTCTGTGTGGAGTTTAGGCTCAGGGCTTGGTGAAGCTGGTCTGTGTTTGGCCCCCGACGGACCAGCCTCTTGTTTCCAGCTCAATCTTACAGTTACTCACGTGCTTGACTTGATTCCCAGCTGTTTCCTTTCCACCCCCCTCCTAGAAGGTTCTACTGGGTCTTGGGTTAAGATGCAGGCATTTCCCCCAGATTTTGGCTTGATCCGTGAATTTTTCTCTGCTTTGCTTCAGAAGCTCTTCGTCCAGTCTCTTCCCTCATCTTCTCAGTCTGACTGGGACCCAAGGGTCTGCCTTACCCGTCTTTATCCTCCTCCACGCCGCGGCTTCCGAGCTGCGGGGCCTCGTCCTGAGCTGTCCGTCACTTCCTGCCGGCCGTCCTCCCGCCACACCGTCTCCCCATCAGTTAGCTGAGGGCACCACACCCTCCAAGGCCAATGTAATGTCTTTCTGAGGAAGAAGAGCCCCTGAAAGGGAGGAGCTTGGAGGTCATCGAGGGGGTGAGGGCTGCTTTCCAGGGGCCAGTTGAGAGTATGTGTCCCCCACCCCATAGGCCAAGCAACAGAGCGGAACTTAGACCAGCACAGGGAGGAGGCCGCGTGGTTGAGGCCTGCAGCCTCGTCAGACCATCGTCACAGGCATTGCTAGGCACGGGGGTGGCAGCTCCGCACCCAGCGAGACCTGGAAGGACGGGCGTGTCGCTGTCCAAGAGGCCAAGGGCCGGGCGACCTGGTGTCGACCCTCTAAGCCGCTGGTCAGTCGAACCAGAGCCCAGGCCAGGTCTGTTTTTTTAAAGACCAGGCTCTGGTCTGCGGAAAGTACCAGTACTGAACCGAAGGGAAACTGGGGCAAAAAGGGGCATGTTTTGACCCCCTGTGTCTGCTCCCGTTTTGCGGAAGGAAGTGTCCGGTGTGACTGCCCACCGTGGCCGGGACAGCGGAGGGGCGGAGGCCTCAAGATCGACCGTAGAAGAAGAGAAAAATAAAAGTGCTCTGGTGCTGTTTTCCCAGCCAAACCGTTGTCTCTGGCTGGTAGGGGTGTCTGCCACCCTGTCCCCCTCTCTGCGGACACTCCTCCCGCGTGTGGGCCACGGGCTCCAGTGGGACGACAGGCGAGCTGGGGGGATACCCCGAGGTAACCACAGGAAGCCAGCGCCCAGCTCTCCTGGCAGCTGCGCCCGCATCAGGGTGGGCCTCCCCCCCTTTCCCCAGCCCCCGTTTTCCCTCTTCCCCCGGTTCAGTGAGAGGGGGCCTGTGAGCAGATTCTAACATAGTTTCTTTGTGAAGCCATTTCTGGTTTTAACTTTATTTATTTATTTATTTTTGTTTCCAACGAGACCCTGCTTTGTGAGGCCAGGCAGCAAACCATCAGGTAAATGCGTTTCTGCCAGGGTTCCGCATCGCTGGGGAGAGACCGGCACCCCACACGTGCGCACGCCGACACATGCTCTTGCACACGCGCACGCACCCTGACGGGGCAGGCGCTGGCCCTCGGGCTGGGACCAGGACGCCCGGCTTTGTCCTCCTCTCAGAAGGCTGCGTGCTGACTGGAGAGAGAAGCAGCGGTGCTCCCCCGGGTGGAAGTGTGCCGTCCGGACTGAATTCTACCATGAACTAAGTATCATTTCTCTTCATGGAGAAAATACCACCGCTCTTAAAGTCAAGATGTTTTCTTGCCATGATTTTAGGAGGTTTGGTCCACAGCAGGCGGGTGGCGAAGGCCCTGAGGCTCCCTGGTGTCTTAGAACAGCCTCCTTGTGGGCTCTCTGAAGGGGAACTGGCGATGCAGTGGAATACATGGAATATACCGTTAGGCTGAGTTGGGCAAATCGCTGAACCCTGAGAGCAGTCGGAGGTGGGACCATCCGTGGACATTCCCTTTCTCCCCTAAATCAGGGACGCCCAGATGGGGACTAGAGGGCGGAACAAGGGTTTGGATGTCACATCAGCCGAGCCCACAGCCTCCTGTGGGTTGGGGCTGCCTTGCTGCAGGCGCCTCCCCTTTTGTGGGGCATCCAGGCACCCAGGTTTCAGAACAAGTAGTGTGACTTGGATGCGGCTCCTGGAAAGGTAGTGTGACAGTCCACATGAATCAGACATTTACAACAATTCACCACCTGGGAGGACTCGTGAGTGAGAAAATGTTTCACCGAGCTCACATCTGAGCCGCTCTGGGGTCAGAGGCTGCCTGTTTCAGGGGAGGGCCATGTCTGTAGGAGACGCGGAGGTGGGCACAGTGCTTCCTAGTCACGGTGCGGCCCGGAGGCTCCCGCCCCGCCATCCTTGGTGCCCCTGGGTTTGTGGGCCGGCGCGAGGGAGAAGGGGGCCCGGCCTCGGTCGCCACCCGCTGCCCTGGCTCCTGAGGGCGTGGCCTGCGGGGCCCCAAAGCCCAGAGCAGGGGGCAGGGGAGGACCTGTCCCTAGACGGGTCACTGGGTTCCAAGCCCCCCTCCCCCAAGATGTCCCACCGTGGAGACACCATGCTGAGGCTTGAAAGGGAAAAACAGAACTTGGGACTCAAGGGTAGACGGTTTTTAAAGAAACAATCCAGCACCAAGGTCTCCTTCAGAAGGCGGTCCTGGAGACCCCGATGCCGAGGCCCCTTACTGCCTGCACGTCAAGGGCATCCCACCCACCCTCCGAGTCTGGCCTTGACCTCCCTGCCTGCTCCCCTCCACTGTTCTTCCAGAGCCTTGAGGGAATAAGGTCTGGCTCTGGAGGCTGGGATGTCCAAGGCACAAGCAGGTCTGGACTAGTCTGTGATGTAGCAGCAAGAACCACCGTGGAAAACACACGTCCACTAAGAATAAGGGTGACGGGCCCCCCATTGGTTGGTGAAGCTCCAGAGTGTCTATCGCTGTCACAATTTCCCTGTTTTATTTTGACGCCCCTGAGCTACCAAGACAAGGTCCTCCGTGCGGGAGGTACGGACGCAGCCCCTCCACCCGCCTCGCCTCTCGTCCCGGCTCGGACCCCCTTCATCCTCCGACCCACCGAATCATGCTCGTTCTCAGAGGTCGGGGCCCCCACCGCCATCGCCCCTGCACCCATCCCTTCCCCACCCCCTGCGTCCCGTACACCTCCCTCCGGGCCCTGCGGCTTCACAGCCTCATGTTGTAAATACTGTTGTACAGTTTGTAATCATCAAATCACCCCGAGTCAGCGGCCTCGCCTGGGTCCCTTCTCACCTCGAGAAAGACCAGGGAATCGAGAAGAGCTTCAGGGCCATCTCTGTGTGAGACGCTGTGTATATTCCTGTAAGATTGCATTTTTATCTAAGGAATGATGTTATTTAAAAAACAAACCAAAAAAAAACAAAAAACAAGAATTGCAAATAAATTTCTTAACAATGTCTACGTTGGTTCGGTCGGGTCACCCCTCTCGCCTTCTCGTCCCATTTCCTAGACTCACAGAAACGCCTTTAACTCTCAGACGACACTCTCATCCCCCAAAGGGGAGGACGGCCAGGGGAACGCGGGGAACCTGACCCCGGGGATGGTCTCTGACCTCATTTCAGCAACTCGTCTCATCCCTCAGGTCTTCCTTCCAGTGAAAAGGTTAACACAAGAATGGTCAAAGGTTGACAAGGGACAATAGGAGAAATTAAATGGTTGATCCACAGAAGACAAGAGCTGCCCCCACCCCAAAATCGGGAAAGGCACAAAATTGGTTTTGAATGAAGGAGAGGGAGGGGGGAAGGAAGGGGAGAGAAGTCGGGGGATGAGATCATGTATGTGAAAGTACTTTGGAGACTTTCCTGGCGGTCCAGTGGTTAGAACCCCACGCTTTCACTGCCGAGGGGCACAGGTTCAGTCCAAGGTCAGGGAACTAAGACCCCGCAAGCCTCATGGCACAGCCAAAATATTTAAAAAATAATAATAATACTTTGAAGGCTATAAATAGGCAAGTTGTTTTCTTTTTTTTTTTTTTTGATTATTAAACAGACTCAGACAAACCTTTCAGAATAATTCCCTGTGTAAAAATAACTTGTCCCAGAAATAACGTCTTAGTTGGATACAGTTACGAGATCGTCCCCGTGGACGATTGAGTCCATTCCGGCAATTACGAGTCATCGCCGCCCTCCCTCCTCCTCTGCTGGAGCCCCCTCGGCCCCAACCCTGCCCCCCAACCTGGACCCTGGGCTCTGGAGTCCAGGCTCGAAGGAGAGGAACACGCGTGGAGGCTACTTGTCCAGCTTCCAGAGCAGGAGCTGGGACCTCGGGTCACGGTCAGCTGTGAGGTATCACTAGGTAGCAGCAATGACTGAAGTGCCAAAGTTTGAGAATGATGCTTTCGATCATCCGGAACAGACTGGAGACTTGCCCTGTGATGAATCTGCTCTGCTTGCATTTTGGATGCTTCCTCAAGTGGGACGGAAGGAGCCAGGCTTCGCCCCGGGAGCGGTCACCACGCGAGCAGCCCTCACGCATGGACGGCCTCCCTGCTACTCTGCTCTCTGGGTCAGCGTGTAGGCCTGGCCAGCCCCTCCCCATCCTCAGGTCTGCTTCTGCCCGCTTCCTCCTTTCTCCCCACAAGGGGATGCGATTGTTGGTCTGACTGCCCAGAGAAGTCGATATGCATTGGGCCCATTACAAGGGGGCAGGATGGCTGTGTGGTGGAAAGTCAGTGGACACACCTGACACTCTCTCCTGCGCTTGCTTTTTCCCGCTTTCTTTCTGTGTATCCCCATCTTGCTCCCTGTTTGCACGCGGTTTGCCAGGTAGGTGGGCTCGGCAGGCTCTCAAGCCCCTGCTCTCAGAGGCCCATCTCGACCCATCAGCCCAAAGGTCAGGCCGCAGGAAATGGGCCTGGAAGACCCTCGGCTGCCCGTGAGCCGGGCGAGGGGCTCAGCCCAGCCTTGGCAGAGCCCCACCGTGAACATTATCAGACACCTTTCCAGCTAATAACGAAAGGCACCTATGCTTTTCATGGGCTGCAGCTCCTCGTACATAATTTCCTTTCTAATGCAGTCATCAGGTGAAAACGTCCCTTGGAGCCGTGGCTGCATTTGGAAGCACTGAATGCAGCCAGCGCCGGCCAGGGTGCTGCTGGGACGGCCCCCACTTCTGGGACGGCATGCAGGCCCCTTCCCTGAGCAGAGGTGCCCACTGTCCTGTGGAAGTCCCATGGGCTAGGAGCTCACACAGACGCTGAGTGGCCCGGGGGGGACCGAGCCAGCTGTCAGGCCCAGGGCCACACTTTTCCCCCTGCTTTATGACCCTGGGCTGGACCCTGTGGCATTTCTCCTTTGCTGGATGCCTTGAGGTTGGGTTTGTCAGGAGACAGGACAGATGTCCTGGAAGGGCCCAGGAGGCCATGCGGGAAGACGGGGATTCCTCCCAATGGGCTGCTTCTTACTGCAGCGGCCACCTTGGGGGCCCCGTGAGCCGGCTCCCTGCCCGCTCTGGCCGGTCTCTCCGTCCCCCGCAGACGGCTCGCCCCTGTGCAGCCGCACCGTCCTCCACGTCCAGGCTGCCTCGGCCCTCGTGGCAGAAGCTGCCCTCCGGTACTTCCATAAACCTAGAGTCCTCTCTCAACCCCTGTAGGTAGTTAACCACCTCTGACTCGTTAACCAGTCTTTGTGTTAGCCTCTCCCTGTTCAAATGACTGGAGTGGGTTCTGCCCCTGACTGAACATGCCAGTAACCCCTGCGGGGCCCTTGCTTGTCCCGCTGCCTGGAATAGTCGTCACCTGGATGAGTAAATACTCAGACGTGGCTATGCACTGACCACTCGGCATCCGGTCCTTCCTGTGGTTAAGCTGAAGCCCTGAGCAGCCTCCATCTTTTCTTTGAAACAAGAGGCACAGACCTGACCACTGGGCACCATCGCCTGCAACCAGATGAGCCCAGGACAGTGGGGGTGAGAGGCCTGCTTGTGATACAAGCCAGACCTTGACTCCAATTCTGTGAACCTGACTGAGAGCCGTGTCACCACTGCCTACAAGGCCCAGAAACAGGCCCAGATTCTCTGAGACCACGTGCTTCTACCCCCATGGTCCAAAAAAGTGCTTCTTGAGTCCCTAGTATGTACCTGACACTGTTCTGGGCGCTGGGCAGAGAGCAATGCTTGGCTCTGGTTCTGCCCTATGATGCCCCACCCGTCCCAGGAGTAACCCTTCTTCTAACAACACCAAGAATGCACTGGGTGAAGCCTCACCCACAGGCTAGAGTCTCCCCACAGCCCAGCTGAGGTTCTAAGGGGGTGCTGCACAGGCCCTGCACACAGTCTGCACAAAGACGCCCAGCCTGGGGTGGGAGTCAAGGTGCATCTGGAGGCTTTGTGCCTGGGAGCGGGGGTGGGGTGGGGTGTGAGCCCAGCAAGGTCACGTATCTGTGAGAGTATGTGCAACGGAAGGTGCTGGGCCCAGCGCAGAGCCAGTGGGTCATTCAGGACGCTGAGCTGGCCTATGCAGGGGCTCCCTTATCCAGGGAGAAGGGGCAGAAGCAGCAGTGGCCTCGGTCCCTGGCACAAGCCGCTTAGGCTGGGGCTGGGCCAGCTGCTGGAGAGAGCAAAGGAGAATTGTCTCCTGGGATGGAAGAGAAGCACGCCTCCACAGACGCATTGAAGCTGAGACCGCCCAGCTTCTGCTGGCTCCTGTACCAGGTGGGGCCCTGCTGTCAGTGTGCTCATTTTCTATGCTGGGCAACAGATTTCCACAAACTTAACAGCTTACAACACACTTGTATTATCCCACAGCTTCTGTGGGTCAGGAGCCCAGGCTGAGTCCTCTGGCATCTCCTGAAACTACCACACTGGGCTGTGCTCCCATCTGGGGGCTTGACGGGAAGAAGCCCCTTCCAAGTTCATTTAAGTTGTGAGCAGAATTCGATTCCTTTAGTTGTAGGACTAATGCCGAAAGCTCAGCTTCTCTGCACGAGTGCCACATCGAATCTCAGAGACAGAGTTTTGGGTGAAGCAGAAAAGAACAGCTTTGTTGCTTTGCCGGGCAAAGGGGGACACGGTGGGCTCCTGCCTCGAAAACTGTGTCCCAGCCCCAGAGGACTTGATGAGGGGTTTTATAACAATGGCTCCCGGCTGGGGCGCTGGCAGATGAGGGGGTGCGCAGGGTCTCAGGCGGTCGGTCTTCTAATCCTGACGAGCTGCTCTGGTCCCGTTAGTCTCGCCTCAGGCTGCTCCTTCCTTGATGAGCAACTGTTCAAATCCGCCCTTTGGAACCGGGGGAAGGTCATGGAGGCTAGAACCTTGCCTACAAGAGATGGGGGACCGTAGGGCCTCTCTCGGTTTCAGGACTGAGGTCCCCGTTTTGCTGCTGGCCATCAGCTGGGGGCCCCTCTCACCTCTAAGAGGATGCCTGCACTTCCTTGCCGTGCTCCTCCCCCCAAGGTCCCTCCCTTCAAAGCCAGTAAGGGGGAGTCTTCTATCTCATAGGTGTGACATCTGGTGGGTTAAAAGCAACTCACGGTTCCTGACTGAGCTCAAAAGGGAGGGATTAGGGCTTCCCTGGTGGCGCAATGGTTGAGAGTCCGCCTGCCGATGCAGGGGACACGGGTTCGTGCCCCGGTCCGGGAAGATCCCACATGCTGCGGAGCGGCTGGGCCCGTGAGCCATGGCCGCTGAGGCTGCGCGTCTGGAGCCTGTGCTCCTCAACGGGAGAGGCCACAACAGTGAGAGGCCCGCGTACCGCAAAAAAAAAAAAAAAAAAAAAAGAATCTGACGAAGATTATGAACTCTTTATCCAGGGAAAAGCACATTCACCAATAAACATTTGGCAAATCATTTCCAAGTTTACCAACTTCCTACAGACTATCCACGGGCTTCAGTTTAACAATCCCTGGGGCTAAATGCCTTTTTTTTTTTTCCAGTGGCTCTCTCTGGTTCTAAGTCTTCTTAGAAATGGAAACAGGAAAGTAGCAATTTCCATCCTTGCTAAAACATACCCCCAAGAATGGTGCTGCCATCCCTCACCACATGTTCTGATGGCCAGGATTCTGGAAAATCCCTGTGCTATGAAGATAAGCGATTTAGGCAAGAAAGCCCCGTAGAGCTGTTTATTTGCCTCCCGGAAGTGAAAGCTAATCACTTGTAGAATCTGATGGACCCCTCCCCTCAGGTAATCTCTCTCCATCTTTCAATCTGTTCCATAAAATGTTTAGCAATTTGGAAATTCAGCTTTTGCTAAATTTAGTTGGGGCTGTTGTGTTGAATTTAAATAGACATGTTGTAAATAAAATCATTTTGAAATCTTTTTCTATCAGAACAACAATTAAATTGAGTAAAGTAGGAATTCTATTAAAACATCGTTGTAAAATCTTTCAAAAGTATAACTTTTTCTAGCTCTATCACTGAAACTGAGCCACAGGAACATCACCAATTCAGACTCATGGAACAATTTGGTAATGCTGACCTTAAAAATAAAACTGTTATTTTTCCTGCTAACATGGGTTTATTCAGGAAGAGCAAAGGAATTGTACTTTGGAAGAAGCAAGCTATAGCAAAAGCCATAGGCAAATCCAATGAAGGAGAGGAATGAAACCTTTATAAAGAAAAAGGAGGAAGTTGGGATGGGTTGTTTTGAACAAAAGCCTTTTGAAGAAAAGTGAGAGTCCAAGGCGATGATGCGTCGGTATTCACTGGCTGAGTTGCCGGGTGATTTCTTCTAGGGGATGCGACGCATGTCTCTTCCTGTTGGGGGCTGTGGCTGATGTTCCTTTCCCACAATTGGCCTCAAGTGGTACCTGCGTGAGAGCTCTCCCTTCTGTCCTCCCACCTCTATCTTAGTGAGGCTTCCCTTTACTTATTTTCACAGCATGCAGCCCTAGGACCCTGCATGGGGTCCCTAATTCACCACTAGAAGAATCAAAGCTTGGTGAAGAGTCGCTAATTCCGTACCTTGTTGCCTGAAACACCTTATTCCTGGAAAGCAAGATGCTTTCAGACCACCTGGTGGTACTGAGAACACAAGAACAAGCTCAAAGGATCGTCAGCTGGCCGAGATGTTACGACTTGAACGCTAAAGAGGAAATAATCATTATATTTCATTGGAACAAATCTGAGGAAACTCATGAGCCTGTAATGGTATTCCAGAAGGGGGGACATCAAATGTACTGGAAGGAAATTTCAAGTCATGGAACAGATGAATGTAGGATATATTCATGACGATCATGATATTGACATTAATTGTATTGAAATATAGTCGGCAATATTGTAACAGCTTTGTGGTGATGGATGGTAATTGCTCTTACTGTTGTGACCATGATGTATAAAAATGGAGACTCACTGCGCTGTACACCTGAAACTAATACAATATTGTAAATCAACTATATTTCAATTAAAAAAGTGAACTTTAGCTCACATTGGTGATGCTTTCCACTGGCTGAAAGACAGTAACTGTGGCACAAAGCAGCACCGTACCCTGAGAACTGTGTAGAGTCTGCCGCAACGAGGGCAGGCTACACCTTAGAATCACCTGGGAAACGAGAAAACCCTTACGAGCAGACCCCCGCCCAGACCAAGTGAATCAGTGTGGAGTGGGTGGGGCAGCACCCTGTGAGCCTAACATGTCCCCGGGGGATTTCAAAGGCACGCCCCCTTTCCAAGGGGCGCAGCTGCATAGGCCCCTCGGAGCCTGGGAGCAGGGCCGGCAAACTAGGGCTTTGTTCCAAATCTGGCCACCAGAGGAGCTGAGATGGTTTTTACACTTCTAAGTGGTCGGGGGAAAATATCAAAAAAAAGAGGAATAATACCTTGGGACACATGAAAAGTACATGAAATTCAAACATCAGTCTCCATAAGTAACATTTTCTTGGAACATAGCCACGATCCTGCGTTTACCTACTGTCTCTGGCGGCTTTGGGGCTGTAGGGCAAAGTCAAACATATGGCTGCAAAGCCTAAAACATCTACTCTCCGACCCTTTGCAGAAAGAGCTTGCTGACCCCAGCTTGAAGGGAGTGGGTCTCCAGAGCCCAGCCCCCCTGTGTTGTCTTCCAAGAACTTACCCATCTGGGAAGGTGCCAGAGGTCGAGGGTCAGATGCGGGGAGATCCTCCTCCTTTCCCACCTCTTCTTCCCACCTGCCCTTCTCTCACTTTCAAAAGAGAGGGCGGCCTCTCACCAGCCCCGGGGCATAAAAACCTCCTAAGCAAAGGAACAATTCCAAATATCCGAGTCTAGTAAGATTCCGATGACACGTTTTCAAGTCAGGAGGGTTCCAAATATCGCTTTACCAAAACTGAAAACGACTCCATCAAGTTTCCAGCTGCCAAATCATTAAAAATATTTGGTGACAGATGGCTACGTGATTTTAGGCACATAAGTCAGAAGGCGTTCAAAGAATTGAGTAACATGGTTATGACAGAGCTAGTGACATAATTATGTAAACAAGGTTTTTTGAGTTTTACAGCTGAAATATTTAAAATGCTGAATGTCCCATTCTGTGAATAAGCAGTTTTTGTCCACAGATACATGAACTCAGTTGGAGGAAAAGCCATGCATCTCATTAAGAAGTGAAGTTCAAGGGCTTCCCTGGTGGCGCAGTGGTTAAGAATCCGCCTGCCAATGCAGGGGACACAGGTTCGATCCCTGGTCCGGGAAGATCCCACATGCCGCGGAGCAACTAAGCCCATGCGCCACAACTACTGAGCCTGCGCTCTAGAGCCTGCGAGCCACAACTACTGAAGCCCACGTGCCACAACTACTGAAGCCCGCACACCTACAGTCCGTATATGCTATTGCTGGAAACAGGTCACAAGGCCCAGCGCACACTCAAGGGAGGGAGATACAGAAGAAAGCAAATACCGGGAGGTGGGATGGGATGGGGTGGGGGCCATCTCGGAAGCTGCCGACTCCAAATGTCAAATTTTAGTAATTACAGCCTCCACATCTGTTTACACTTAGCATGAACATTTTCGGGGGTCATCTTAAAAATGTATGGAAGGATGCAGAGTTTTCCAAAATTCTTTTACAATAAACAAGTAAAAGTGTTTGGAGATGGCGGAGCTCCAGTTCTAATGCAGCTGGGTCCTGTCGGGCAGAGGGGGGTCAGACGGTCGCCAGGGGTCTGCCAACAGCGGGCAGAGGGCAAAGGGCCTTTGAACAGCGAGAAGGTCCACCTCCCCAGACCTGGGAAGCCTGTCTGCATTACAAGGGCTGAGCGCGTCTGGGTCCGCGGGTGTCGGGGGCCAAAAGAGGCGGTCAGTTGTCAGGGAAGGAAAGGCAGACGACGCTGGGCTTAGGATGAAGGAAGGAAAAGAATGAAAAGTGCACTTCCGGGAGGCACACTCGTCAGCGGCGTGTAGGATGAAACGGGAGGGCAAGGTCTGGGACAGGGGGTGACGGGGACCCAAGAAGGGGGCCGCCCAGGGGACTGGGGGTCTTGGGAGGCCGGGGAGGAGGGACTTAGTCCGCAGGCTCCAAAGGCAGGCTCCTCTGGACCGGAGACTAATAAGAGGTGATCAGCCAGGCGGACCCTCAGCAGACGTGGGGCGGGTCTCTGGCGAACGCGCAGGCTCAGCGCTGGGGACACAGACGGCCGAGGGCAAGGGAGGCCCAGAGCCCGCGCAGGTGCGTGGGGACCAGTGCTCCCACCTCCTCGGGGGGCCAGCGTTGTCGGAGCGCGGAGTTGTCCCGACCTCGAGAAGGAGGACGGAAAGCCAAGAAAGCAAAATCTGGGTAAGAGGGTGAGGATACAGAGAGACAGGGACTGAGAAAAAGGAGAAGAAAAAGAAAAGAGTAAGACCGGGGTCGAGAGCTCGGGGAAGGTATTAAAATAGAGTTTTACAGCCTGACGGTAAGAGCAGGGATGAAATACGGTAGCGAGCTGAGCTGGAGCGCAGGAAACGCTGGCCCGGGATTCGCGGCGCCGGCGGGGCTGAAGGAGCGTGGGGAGGAGCGCGGGGAGGAGCGCGGGGAGGAGCGCGCACCTGGGACGGACGTCGGGGCGGGACGCGCGGAAGGACTGTCCTGGCCCGAGCCCTCCCCTCTGCGCTATCCGCCCGGGGCAGGGCTGGAAGCCGGAAGCGGCCGTGTGGGAGCTAACTCGGGACTCAGCCGAGGTGAAACCAGGGGCGCGCCCTCGCTGTGCCCCCAGCCCGGGCACGAGCCCTCCGCGAAGGCCGGAGCCATGGGGGCTCCGCGCCGCCGGCCGCGCGCGTCCCGCGGGCCCCCGCCGGTGCCGTCGCTCCTGCTTCTCCTCCTGCTCCTGTGCGGCCCGGGCCTGGGTCGCGCCTCCCTGAGGCTCTTGGACCACCCGGCGCCCGTGTGCACCCAGCAGGTGAGACCCCGACGCATCCCGGGGGGCGGGGGCCGGGGGCGCGGGGCTGCCGAGTGACAGGAGGTCCGCGCAGGGTCTCGGGGGTTCCGAGGCTCGGGCACAGAGCGGGCCGCCGTGGGGAGGACTCCCGGAGCGGCGGGAGTTGCTATGCGGACCCGGGAAAACACGGAGTTTGCTGGGAAAGATCGCGCAGCGCCGGTTGCACAACCTGGGCCGGCGTCCCAGCGGCGTCCCACACTTGGGGAGGGCCTCGGAGGAGGCGCGGCCGGCCGGAGGCGGGGCGCGCTGGTTTGTAAAGGGTGGGGAGAGGCCTACGGAGGGCGAGGCGGGAGCGAGCCCGGTTCCAGCCCGGGTCCTGGAACCCTCCTCCGCCGGAGCCCGCGCTTCGGGGACCCCGCGGCCGCAGCGCCTGGCGCACGGGCCCCGGGGCTGCGGGGGCAGCTTCCGGGGAGAGTTGTGAAGGCAGAGCGGTGACCCCTCCGGCGCGAGCCCTGGGGGCCGCGCGGACCCTCAGGACGCCGCCCCTGCGGCCGCCACCGCCCGGGTCTGGGGTCCCGCTGGTCTGTATCCGCCGGGCAGCTGCGCCGCTGTGCCCACAGGAAGCGACACACCCACCGCCGGGTAGTGGCCTTGGGGTGGAGGCCCGGCTTCAGGGAAAAGACTCCCCTCCGCTCCTCTTGTTTTCCTCGGTCCACTCCCCTCCACCACTGGCGCCAAGAAATAACCCTCAGTATCTGAGTCAGAGGATGTGAAACAACCGAAGCGGTATTCCTCCTGACCTAATTTTGTCGAGGATTCACCACAAGAGGGTGGAGGAGGGTCAGCGACTGTTTAGCAGAAACTTTTCTTTTAACGTGAATGATTTGGGGACCGTCCTTGTGACTCCCACTCCTGGGCAAAGCGTGAGACCCACTCAGCAGGTCCTTCCCTTGGACTCGGTTCATTTCTCAATGGCCACTTGCCAGGCGCCTGCAACATACAAGGTCCTGAAACGACAGAGCCACACTCCCTGATGATGACCAGAGGGGTGGTGAGTCACCCAGGAGACAGGAGCCGGTGCTCTCGGTGCGACCGGTGAGTGTACAGAATTCCAGGGAAAAGAGAAACTCCTGCAGCCTAGGGTGTTCTTTGTGGCAGAGAAGACACTTGGGCGGCCCTCCAAGACAGAGGCCTGGAGCGGTCCAGGAAGTGGGAAGCGCTGAGCCAAGGCCCATGGGTGGGCAGGATGAGGACTGAGGGGTTTGAGTAGCAGGAAAGTGAGAGAAGCATCGGGAAATGAGGGAGGGGCTCCCCTGAGCTGTGCTGAAACGGCTTGACCTCAGTTGCTCAGCGGGAGCAGGGGGGCTTGGCCTGATGGGGGTGTGGGGTTGGCAGAGAGGGATCCCCTGGCAGATTCGTCTGCACCCCCGGGCTCTGCCTTCCCGCCCCCGCCGTACACCTGGCCACAGACACACGCCCCCCACGGCCCGAGCCCTGAAAAGAGAGGAGCAACGCCCTCCAGATTTCTCTCCCTCCGCTGGCGCCTCAGTGGATAGAGCACCACGTAGTGTCAGGGGAAGCCCGCACTTGACCCCAGAGGACCTGGGTTTGCATCCTGACTCCACCACCTACAGCCCAGTGCTGCAAGCGCGGGACTTGGGGGCTGACAGATGGTTGTGGACCGAAAGGACGAAGGGGAGGGTGAGCAGATGAATGACGAAGCCAGCTCTGCCCACGAAGCAGTGACAGGCGGAGACCAAGCAAGGTTGGTTCTGGTTGCTTGGATTTAGTGCCTCAAAACCCAGGGGACTCTGAGTCCCCCCCACCCATCCGATCCTTACTGGAGAAACTGTGTTTCCCTGGGGGACCCTTCCCACCTGGGCCTTCTCAGCTTCCCATGACCATGACCGCCAGCCCAGAAGAAAGCCCGCAACTTGGAGGTGGTCGGCGGGAGTGTTAACGCAGAAGTTTCTAGACAGGATGTGTGTTCCACAATTTCTTCTTTTCCCCAAGCACTTGCAGCTCTGACTGGGGGTGGAACAGCCATGGGTTTAACCCCATCTTCTGGTCGCCACAGCTTTCGACCGTGCCCCTCCCCGAGTGTCAAGTTGTGTCGTGTGGGCACCGGGCGGTCGGGGCTGCGGTCAGGGCATCACCGCAGAGTTCATGGGCTCCTCCACTGGCTGCCAGCCTCTGTGTGAGATGTGACAGATAGCACGTAGCATCAGCAGCAGGGGATGCGGCTGAGTCAGGCCTCGGCCTCGGGTGGAGCTTGTCTCTCAGCCGCCTTGCAGCCCCGGCCAGTCCCTCTACCGCCGTGACCCAGTGTTCCCGGCCATTCAGGGATGACTCTTGCCTCACGGGGTTGTGGGGAGAGCACCTAACACGCTGGGCGGACCAGGGGCTTGTGCGCTGGGTGTGCTGGGGCAGGAACAGTGGCCTGCAGCTTCGTGCCGCCTCTGTGCCGGGGGTGACAGGCATACCTTCACTCAGAGCTCTCAGTGGGCTGCCGGGCCAGCACCATGCACCTGTCTCGGAGACGCTGGGCGGCCGGCCAAGATGGACCACAGCAGAGCTGTGTGTGACCGCCCAGCCCACTTCTCTCTACCGGGCTCTCGTCGATGTCCGTGGAACTGTCTGAGTCCTTCCTTGTAATCTTCACCACCGCGGATGGAGAGGGTGGGCCCACCTGTTGCGACACCCCTTTTTATGTAGAGGCCATGTGGCCGTGATTAAGAGCGGGATTCTGGAGCAAAACTGCGTGGGTTTGAGTGTCAGCTCTGTGGAGCCTTGGGCCACTTAGCTGACCTCCCTATGCCTCAGTTTTTTCATGAATAAAAAGAGAATGATGGCACCGACCTCATAGGACTGCTGTTAAGATTAAATGAGACGTGCGTACGAAGTGTTAGCGTGATGCCTGGCACAGACGGAGAGCTCGGTGAACACAGGAAATCCTTCTCAGATATCTGGTACCCTTTGGCTCTCTGAGAATATTTCAAGACTGAGGTCCTAAAGGCTGACTGGATGCCCTGTGTAGATGGGCGTTTTGATCGCTGAACTTACTGTAAGGGTCAGGCTGGTGGTGAACGTGGCCTGTCTGTTGGGCGACTCTCAGGTGTCGAAATCCAGAGGTCTTTTCTCTGGGCCTGGCTGCCAGCATTCTTTTTTTTTTTTTTTTTGGCTGCACTGGGTCTTCGTTGTGGCACCTCTAGTTGCGGTGCACAGGGTTCTCTAGTTGCGGCACTCGGGCTCAGTATCGGCACGCGGGCTTAGCTGCAGTATGTGGGATCTTAGTTCCCCGAGCAGGGATCGAACCCAGGCCCCCATGCATTGGGAGTGTGGAGTCTTAACCACTGGACCACCAGGGAAGTCCCCATGCCAGCATTCTGATATCAGGGCAGGGAAAGAGGCTAAAGTGCCTCCCAGCTCCTAAAGACACTCAGAAAATGCCAGTTCCATTTGCCACGTGCTATGCCCACTTCTCACCCTGTGTCTCCTCAGTTGACAGGAGAGAAGTGTGGTCCACCCCCCGAGAGTGTCCCTCAAAGAGAGAGGGAGGGTGCCTGTGTTTCATTCTTGAGAATGAGCCCGGGGACGCCAGAGCCCGGCTTGTGGATTCAAGTTCTTTCTTGTCTGTGATTACCTGCTTCTCTTTTCCGCAGGGGCTGAACTGCACAGTCAAGAACAGTAAGTCACCGGTTTATGTTTTTCTCATGTTGCCGCGATGAAGCGCTGACCCCGCGCTGAGCTGACGAGGGTCCCAGCCCCCAGCAGGAGGACCCCTGAGATTTGGAGCCGCACCTACACCTCCGTCAAGGACGTTCATCGTGCAGCAGTCGGGATGGGAGGCGCAGGCCTGTCATTAGGATTTTCTTTGGGGTGCTACCCTGGTGAATGTGTAATACGACTCTTTCGCCAGAGCTGTCACCCTGAAGTGGGCCACATCTGGGGTGGGACCTTGTTTTGTGTTTTAATTCAAGGAGGAGGCGCACAGTTCAAGTGTCTGTGCTCATTAGGGACCCCGCACATGACAATAGAGCAGCTCTTATGGTTGCCCCACTCTCCTGCCCCACTTCCAGCCACTGCCTCCTCTCAAAGCCAAGGGCATGCTTTGTCGTCTCTCCTAAGGTGCCCTTTAGACATCAGAGCTTTGCCGTGACCCCAGACAGGCGTCAGGAGAGCGAGCAGGGCTGGGCAGCTGCGAGCACAGCCGCGGCCTCAGGGTCACGGCCTGACCGTGAAGGCCTGGCTCCCTGGACCCCCGTGAGGTGTCTTCTTTGGTCTGCATCTTTGGTTTCTTGCAGAGCCTGCAAGCCTCTGCTTTCTGCCTTTCCTGGCCCCCAGGTACCTGCCTAGACGACACCTGGATCCACCCTCGAAGCCTGACCCCCTCGCCCCCCAAAGACGTGCAGACCCAGCTGCGCTTTGTCCACACGCAGCAAGGACACCTGCTCCCCGTGGCTCACATCGAGTGGACGCTTCAGACAGACGGTGAGTGGGCGTCTGGACGTGCTGCCCACCTCCGGGTGAGCCCACAGATTGGACCACCCGGCCCTCCCCCCAGACTCAGAACTGGGCTCCCAGCCCTGTGCTCAGACACGAGGGGCCAGTTTAGTGAGAGGACCCATCGTTTCAGGCAGTGAGTCCTTTTTCAGTGTTTGGATGTTAACCCACGATCCTTCAAGGAAGGCCTTTCTTCAGCCTAAAATCTTCATCACCTCGGAAAAGGCGTCAGGTCGTGAATTGTCTGACTGCGGGGCTGGCCTTCCTGACAGCAGTGCCCCAACCTCTCAGGGGTGGGTGACCAGGGCGCCCAGACCTGTGGACGGCCTGGGGGAGTCCTCTTCCTGAGGCTCCAGCCCTGCTGGCTGCTGCGTCCTCTTCAAGTTCGGGGACGCCCCTTTGACACCCACAGCGTGTCGCCAATGCCCTAGCCACGAATTTGCAGAGCGTTCGCTTCGAGCCCTGGGTAAAGTGTCGCTGTCCGTGTCCAGCAGGGGTAGCTGTCCACGAGGCAGTGGCTAATCCAGCCCAAAGGGAGCTTGGAAGGAGCAGGAAGCGGAGGGTGGGTAAGACGGGCAAGCGTCCCAGATGGGACGTGCCCCCCCCCCACCCCGGCGGTTAGTCACCCTTGATCTGCAGCTGCGGCCCCTCCCCTCCCTCTGCCCTCCAGCCAGCATCCTCTACCTGGAGGGAGCGGAACTGTCCGTCTTGCAGCTGAACACCAACGAACGTCTGTGTGTCAAGTTTGAGTTTCTGTCCACACTGAAGCATCATCACAAGCGGGTAGGACCCCAGCGGGGGCAGGGGCGGGGGTGGCGATGACCATCGGGGAACAGCACGCGCACGCGCGCACACGCTGCTCTTCCTTCCGACCTTATGTGGCCGCTCGCCGTTGCGGCTCCGCGACCCCCGCCTGCCGGCCTGCCCTGCACCTGGGTCAGCGCGGGGCCTCCGGGAGGAGAGGCTCTGCCCAGACCGGGGCTGCCGTGGTTTCTGCCGCAGCTGCTGCCCCTTTTGCTGCCCAGAGCCGGAAGTGGATTCTCTTTGAGTCCCGTTTTGCTGCCCAGAGCCGGAAGTGGATTCTCTTTCAGTTTGGTTAAAGCACTGATGCTCAGCGCGAGGTCCCAAGACCAGCAGCATCACCTGGGAGCTGTTAGAAATGCAGGTTCTAGGGCCCCACCCAGGCTACCTGAATCAGAGGCTGTGGGTGTTTAAACAGCAGCAGTTGGTGGTGACAAGCCATCCAGGCGGTCCTGACCCAGGCTCGTCTGAACACTGCTGCTTTACGTCTGAAAAGTGGCCGCTGGCAGGGCTCCCACAAACACAAGCAGCAAAGACAGATCCCCCGTCCCGTGTTTAGTGGGGACCCCCAAACTACTGCTGGAGGGTGGTGAGGACCAGGGACCCCCACGGAGTCCACCAGGGGAGTTGGAGTCAGCGTGTGTCACCTACACCATCCAGAAAATGTTTGCGCGACGAAGATGCTGTCAGGCCTGGGCGGGGGAGCGGGGGGGACCTCGTAGCCCTCTCGCTGCACTTCTGTGCTCCAGGACATTCTCAAGAGACCCCTGGCTTTCCCATTTAAGGAGGCAGAGTCACTTAACAAGTAGTTTTCAGCTGCCCCTTGTGTGCTCTGGAGTTGGAGAGGGCCGATGAGGGAGGGGGCTCTTTCGTCTTTCCCCAAATTCTCTTGCTTTTGGCCCCCACTGTCTCCTGATGAGGCCAGATCTAGGTTTTTTAAAATAGGCAAGAAAGGGACTTCCCTGGTGGCATAGTGGTTAAGAATCCGCCTGCTAGTGCAGGGGACACGGGTTCGAGCCCTGGTCCGGGAAGATCCCACATGCTGCGGAACAACTAAGCCCGTGTACCACAACTACTGAGCCTGTGCTCTAGAGCCCACGAGACACAACTACTGAGCCCACGTGCCACAACTACTGAAGCCCGTGCGCCTAGAGCCCGTGCTCTGCAACAAGAGAAGCCACGGCAATGAGAAGCCCGCACACCACAACCGAGAGTAGCCCCCGCTCGCCGCAACTAGAGAAAGCCCGTGCGCAGCAACGAAGACCCAATGCAGCCAAAAATAAAATTAATTAATTAATAAAAAAAATAATAATAATAAGCAAGAAAGACCAGAAGAAACAAAGAACAGAGAAACAGATGCCTCCGACTTGGGAGCTTGCTGTAGTGGTTGTTTTCTCCCTCTTTTGACTGATCCTTTGGGGGTGGATGGGGTGCACTTTGGGCCCAGGTGGGTGAGAGCCGTGACCTGTTTGCCCTCCCCTTCTCCCATCTCCTAGTGGCGTTTTGCCTTCAGCCACTTCGTGGTGGAACCCGGCCAGGAGTACGAGGTGACCGTCCACCACCTGCCTAAGCCCATCCCTGACGGGGACCCAAACCACCAGTCCAGAAACTTCCTGGTGCCCGGTAAGAGCGCCCCCCCCAGCCTTGCCTTCACCCCTCACTTTGCAGTCAGCCTGTGGGACCCATGGGACAAACAGGTGCAGGGCCAGGTTCTTTGCTGAGTGGCCACAGCCTCCACTCCCTGAAGGCGGAGCCCGTTCTTGCGACACAAACAGTGGGTGTTGGCCCACGACCCCAGGAGCTTCACGGGACCCGGAGTCCTTCCGCGTGGCTGAAAATGCACGTTTCCTGCCCAGAACGTGTCAGGAGCACAAGCCAGTCCCAGGAGAGCTGTGGCCCTGCTCCCAGCCCCGCCCCAGCTCTCAGTTCCTCATTCTTCCCCCACGTCCCACCTGCATTTATCCCACGCCTTCCCCTCTTGCCACTACTCCTTCCTCCTGGGAGGCCTGGCGGGCTCATCTTCCAAAGCATCATTTGATGTGTGTGCACCTCTGGGGCGCGTCTCTGTCCTCCCCAGCATCTCTGCCACTGCCTGCTTTTCTCATTGTTAAGAGCCAAGCACACCTAGATGCCCGGCCCCTTGAGAACAGGGCCTGGACCCCACACCCGCCTGTGCAGCCTCCAGATCCCCACAAATGGCCCTGCATGTGGGAGGTGATCGGGAAATGCCTGTTGAAGCCTTCTTCATCTCCAGAGCACCCCCTGCTCACACACATGCACACACGATCTGTTCACCCGGCTTTCTTGCCCCTCGTGTCACTCCCTGCTCCCTGACATTCCATCATCTTGACATATTCGTGACGTGATATTACGCTATTTGCTTTTACGGTCTCTCTCGCTGGAATGTCATCCTTGGAGGGCAGGGACTTTGTCTCACTCACCACCGTATCTCCAGGGCCTAACACAGGGCCTGGCACATATTGGGAGCTCAGCCAGTATTTGTCAAATGAGTGACCCCCCCGCCCCCTCCCCTGTCCCTAAAGTGGACTGGCTCAGCCCCTGTCACTCGCGGTGATTCACGCCTCTCACGTGCCTTCTGAAACCAAAGTAAAAACGTTGCAGTAAAAGAAATGGAGGGATCAAGAAGACATCTCCAGAGGAGTGGTCCCCACGGGCTCCCCGCGTCCACAGCACCATGGAATCACCTGGGAATTTGTCAGAAATGCAGCTTCCCAGGCCCACCCCAGAGGGGGCTGAACCCAAGACTGCTGTGAGGACATGGGAAAGTTGGGGAAACGCTGCCGTTCGCTGAGGGGGACACAGTCCATCTCTCCTCAAGGGCAGAGGCGGCTCAGGAGAGGGAGCCCCGGGGGAGAGGAAGCAGGAGTGGACCAGGACCCCTCGGTCCCAGAGCAAGTCCAGGGAGCTTACACCTGGATCTAGAAGGTTCCTGGAGGGAGGAGGGCTGAGACGGCCAGGACGGTCCCAGGCCTGTGGGGCCTCTGGCCCATGGCAGTGTCTGTCCTGGGGCTTCTCTGAAGGGCCAGCTTTGGACAGGCTCCCCAGAGGCAGAAGGCTGTTAGCTCTGGTGTCAGAGGCCCTGCAGGAGCCAGCTTTCCAGGGGAGGCGCGTAACGGTTGCACTTTTTCCCGGTCCACAGGCTGCGAGGACCCCAGGATGAAGATGACCACGCCCTGCGTGAGCTCAGGTAACTGTGGCGGGCAGCCCTGTGGGGGACTTTACTTGGGTGCACACGCACACGTGCACACCTGCACGCATGCTCGCCCCTCACTCTCGACCACGTCTGTGCCTCTGTGGGACAGGCAGCCTGTGGGACCCCAGCATCACTGTAGAGACCCTCGAGGCCCACCAGCTGCGGCTGAGCTTCACGCCGTGGAACGAGTCCACCAAATACCAGATCCTGCTGGACAGCTTTCTACCCGCGGAGAACCGCAGCTGCTTCCGGCGCGTCGTGGATCTGGACGTGGTAACTGCTCTCTCTGCCGCTCTCCTAACCCCCCAGCTTGGCTCAGAGCCACCTCTCCAAGCCTCGAGGCCCAGGCGCTCAGGCTGTGCTGGAGGGCGTGACCTGGGCTGCCGTCCTCCCTTCCCATGTGTGACCGGAGTGTGGCTGGTGTGTCTGAGTGTGGCTGGTCTGTGGCTGGTGTGTGACTGGAGTGTGGCTGGTGTGTAGTTGCTCCGACAGCTGACGGGACACGGCTATCTCTGCCCTGCACACCCAGCCCTCTGTCCTCCCCTCCCCCACGTTTTCCTGGTCCTCTTTTTGTTTAGCCTTGTTAATTCCATTATTGCAAAAAGGATTTGAAGACTTTAAAATGTGGAAGTGAAGACAAAGGGAAGTAAAGGTGAGGAAATAAGATGAAGCCAGGGTAGGGCCAGTGCAGGACAGGCGTGTCTGTCCCCAAGATCCCCAGCGGCCAAAGCCAAGAGGGGCAGCTGGGTGCTGGATGCAGTCCTGAGTCAACACGGCCACGGCCCTGGGGAGGGGCCGCTCCTCCTGGAGCGGGACCTGCCAGCCTCTCTCCCCGGGACCTCCTGGGGGTGCATCCCAGCAGAGGCCAGGGCCTCACTGCCCCTCTGCCCTGCAGCCTGCAGAGGAGGCTACCCGGCAGTGCTGCAACGTCACGCTCACCCTGCCAGACTTCAGCTGGTGCTGCCGTCACCACGTGCAGGTGGGGACTGGGGTGGAGACGGGGTGGGCATGGGTGCAGGTGGGCAGCCCGGGGCTCGTGCTCCCCAGGGACCCAGCACCGCTACCGCCTGGGATTTCCTGCCCGGCCCCCGGCCTCACCTGGGCAGGGCCCTTTGCCCCCTCCTGCCCAGCAGCTGCGGGGACGTCCTGGAGGGGCCGGCGGGGTCCAAGGTGGGCCGCGTCCCCCCTGCCTATCCTCCCTGCGCTCTGTCCTTGCAGATCCAGCCCTTCTTCAGCAGCTGTCTCAACGACTGCCTCCGACACTCGGCGGCCGTGCCCTGCCCAGAGGTCCCGCACGCCCCAGGTGAGGCGCACGGCGGCCGGGGCGCAGCCGGGGGGAGGGCGGGTGAAGGCCAGCCGCCCGACCCGAACCCTGACGTCGTCCTGGGGCGGGGGTGGGGGTGGGGGCGGGAGTTGTCCAGGCCTGCGCTGTGGGGCCTTAGAGAGACTCCAGGTTGGACTCCTGACTGCCTTTCGTTAGCTGTGTGGCAAAGCACTTAACCTTTCAAAACTTGCGTGACTTGAAAAATGGGGATTCTTATCGTCATAGTTACAGTTAAGGACCAGGTAGTGAACAGGGTGCTCTAACGTGTCCATTTCTAATTCTCACAAACTGTGAGCCACAGTACTACCTGCTAAGTACTGTATACTAGGTGCTATGCACTATAGTGCTGTGTGCTACGTACTGTGTATAAGTACTGGGTACTGTGCACCACAGTATAGGTACTGTGTACTATAGAGCTAAGTATATTTTACTGTGTTTTAAGTACTACGTACTGGGCTCTGGGTACTATATACTTTGCACTAAGTGTGCACTGTGTACCAGGTACTGTGTACCAGGTACTGAGTGCTGTGTACTAAGTACTGTGCACTGTGTACTATGTACCATGATGTGGAGACTCCCTCCCCCAGGTCCATAGGTGAGGAAACTGAGGCACAGAGATGTCAGGCACCTTGGCCAAGGTCACACACCGAGGAAGTGGCAGAGCCCCGGTTCTGACCTGAGCCTCCAGCGCGCTGCCTGCTTCCCGTTCAGAAGCCTCCTGCAGCAGACGCCAATCAAAAAGCAGCGGAGGGCTTCCCTGGTGGCGCAGTGGTTGGGGGTCCGCCTGCCGACGCAGGGGACACGGGTTTGTGCCCCGGTCTGGGAAGATCCCACATGCCGTGGGGCGGCTGGGCCCGTGAGCCATGGCCGCTGAACCTGCGCGTCCGGAGCCTGTGCTCCGCAACGGGAGAGGCCACAGCAGTGAGGCCCACATACCACAAAAAAGAGAAAAAAAAAAAAGCAGCAGGCATTGCACTGGCCTGGACGGAACCCGGCCTCCAGGTGGAGGCAGGCGTCTCCCAGTAGGCCACCAGCTCAGGTGTCCCCCGTAGGTGGTGTCGCTAAGTTTAATAACCTGTACAAAGGGCTGGGCGTCGGGCCAGGCCGTCAGCAGGCCCCAGCTCGGCACGCGGGTGCTGGGTGTGGTGACTGCTGCTAGTAACTGAGAGTCTGTCCCTTGGTTCTTATTGCAGACGCCGTTGAAGGTAAGGCCGACTCCTCCCAGGCTTTGCCGCCTCGGGGACACAGAGGTCCCTGTGTCCTGGAGTGGAGCCAGGCAGAAAGGCTGTACCAGGAGGCGGCCCTGGGTGGTGGGACCATGGCCCATCTTGGTGTCAGGGAGGACCCCCCAGGGTGGGCGGTTGGTTGAGGACCCCAGGGCTGGCACAGCAGAGAGGGCAGCTCAGGGAGGGCAGTGAGCGGGCCCCCGGGGCTGGTGTCACAGGCCTCCCTGCCACGCCATCACGCTGTTCTCCTGCCACAGACCACATGCCCCTGTGGGTGTCCAGGTGCATCCCCGGCCTCTCCATCCTGCTCGTGGGTTCCGTCATCCTGCTGACCATCTGCCTGGCCTGGCGGCTACCGGGTAAGGCCAGGAGCTGTGGGCCCACCTGGGGCTTGCCCTCTGCCCTGCCTCTCTTCCCGTGCCCCCGTCCCTGCACCAGCTGGGGGACTGTGCTCACAGCCCCACGCATCCCCGCCCTTCAGCCTGTTAATAAGCATTGGTTCCCTCCGGCTGCGGCCCTCTCTGGCCACATTCTAAGCAGGAGGAAACATGGGTCTTTGGGGTGGGGACTTAGCCTCTCCCTGCCCCTCCACGACCCCGATCTGGGAGGCCGTTTCCCCTGTGACCACAGCTCATGCTGGGGAAGATCACCAGCCGGGCGCGAGACCTGTCGAGAGGGTCCTTCCCTGGGAGGGTCCCGCCGTCCAGGTCTCTGCAGGCGTCGGGAGGCCGTCTGCTTCTCATGCTACACGTCTGACCTTTTCCCGAAGCGGCCACTCCTCGGGGCGAGGGAGAACCTCAGAGTTCTAGACAGAGGCCCAAAGGGTGGGGCTTGAAATCAAAGTTCCAAACGTCCTCCTTGGCCGCATGGCTCTGGTGAGTCAGCCCTGCTCCCCGGGGCCCTTCGCTGCCTCCGGGACGGAGCGGTCACTTAAGCACGCTGGTTCACCTCCTCGCCCCAGAGCACCAGCAGGTGGGACTTCCCTGGCGGTTCAGTGGCTAGGCCTCTTCATTCTCATTGCCAAGGGCCTGGCTTCACTCTCTGGTTGGGTAACTAAGATCCCACAAGCCACCACGAGGCGCGGCCAAAGAAAAGAAAAAATACCAGGAGAAAATTTAAGGGGCCCAGTGGCACTACTTCTGGAGGCATCTCGGAAGACTTTTGCCTCCTGAAAGGACACGTCTGGGGAAGGGGCTTTCCCTGAAGGGGAGCTCTGCTTGGGGATGGCCACTGTTGGGGTGTAACCTCCCAGGCACCATTCTGGGGGTCCCAGCCATGTCAGTGCTGCAGAATACTTGTGACCCAGCTGGTGGGGTGGTGTGCCGGGCACTTCACACACAGACCCATTTCACAGAGGAAGAAACTGAGTTTCAGAGGCGTTGATACCTCCCGCAGGTCACACAGCGGTCATGGGAGGGACGGTCTCCCTGCAGAGGCCCAGAGCGTCTAAGAAGTGCTACCTCGACCCCTCCCTTGGTCGGGAGTGGGGCAGAGCTCCCAGCAGGTGCCCCTGTGAGCTGGTCCCTGTTTCTCTTCCAAAAGAGCCGTTCTGAGCCATCTTGTAAGATTTGTGCTTCCTGCAAGGACACTTCTGGAGTGTTACTTCTGGCATTTCTTTTCCTTTCAGGGTCCCATCACAGAAAATACGAAAATGGCACCAAATGCACAGGTGGGCACCTCCCGGCTTGGGCAGCCTGGGTTTGGGGTGAGTCTGTTCACAGCGGCCTGGAGGGGCTACCCAGTCAGCTCCTGTCTCTCAGGAGATGGCACCTGCCGGGGACCCACCTCTAGCTCCGAACAGAGGGGACCTCAAACAGCGAGGCTGGGCTTAACAGTTGCCCATCGCTGATCGAGGAGGGGAAGGTAAAGGCACTGTGTTTTGTGAAAAGAGGTCCTCCCGAAAGCAGCTGTGTGTAAACGGGCCTTTGTGTCTTGTAAGAAAAAAAGCAATTTTAATTAACATGGAGGCTAAAGGCCAGATAAAAAAGTGAGAGACTCTTCCCCGAAGGCACAGGCTGTTTCGCAGGCAGCCAGCACATCGAGGCAGCCGCCTTGGGCTTATTCTGAGGTCTCAGCTGCATTTTGGGGGCTCGGGAGTCTTCCGGCCAGCCGGGCGGGGCTGTCCCCTGTCTGTGGTGTGTGGTCAGCGCCGACATGCCTGAACCCTCGGCCTGGCTTCCCTTGTTTCCCTCAGACGTCCTGCCCGCTGCCACCAGCCTGAGCCCCCCACCCCTGAAGCCCAGGAAGGTCTGGATCGTTTACTCGGCTGATCACCCCCTCTACGTGGACGTGGTCCTAAAGTTCGCCCAGTTCCTGCTCACCGTGTGCGGCACCGAAGTGGCCCTCGACCTGCTGGAGGAACAGGCCATCTCGGAGGCGGGGGTCATGACCTGGGTGGGCCGCCGGAAGCAGGAGGTGGTGGAGGGCAACTCCAAGGTCATCGTCCTGTGCTCCCGAGGCACCCGGGCCAAGTGGCAGGCCATCCTCGGCTGGGAGGACGCCACCGTCCAGCTTCGCTGTGACCGCAGGAAGCCCGCGGGGGACCTGTTCACGGCGGCCATGAACATGATCCTGCCGGACTTTAAGAGGCCGGCCTGCTTCGGCACCTACATCGTCTGCTACTTCAGTGACATCAGCTGTGAGGCCGACATCCCCGAGCTCTTCAACATCACCTCCTGCTACGCGCTCATGGACAAGTTTGAGGAGGTCTACTTCCGCATCCAGGACCTGGAGATGTTCGGGCCGGGCCGCATGCACCGCGTCGGGGCGCTCACGGCCCAGAACTACCTGCAGAGCCCCGGCGGCCAGCAGCTCCACGAGGCCGTGCAGCGCTTCCGCCGCTGGCAGGCCCAGCGCCCCGACTGGTTCAAGCTCGAGAGCCTCTGCCCGGCAGACGACCAGGACCTCCCGTCCCTGGACGAGGAGGCCTTCGAGGAGCCGCCGCCGGGAGGAGGGATCGTCCGGCAGGAGCCGCTGGTGCTGGAACCCGCCTCCCAGGGCAGCCTGCTGGTGGAGCTGCTCCTCGCGGGGGAAGGAGGGGGCCCGTCGCGGCTGGAGCCCCAGCCTTGGCCCCAGGAGCAGCAGGCGGCCCAGACGCTCCAGACCACGGTGGTCCCGGTGGACGGGGCCCCTCCGGCGCAGGCGGTGGAGCCCATCCTTCGGGCCGTCAGGAGCGGTGCCGCCAGCCGGCTGGCCCTGGTTGGGGGAAACGAGGCCTGCCCGCTTCTGGGCGGCTGGGGCCCTGGGCGGAACAGCATCCTCTTCCTCCCCATGCACCCCGAGGACCCGCCCGTCTGCAGCAGCCCCACGGGGCGGCCAGACGGCTCCATGCTGCCGTCCCTGCAGCAGAGCCCGCGCTGCCAGGATGTGCGCACGCCCCCTGGGGCGGAGCAGCGGCGGTCTGTGCAGTCCGACCAGGGCTACATCTCCAGGAGCTCCCCGCAGCTCCCGGACGACGACGACGGGGACCGGGATGGGGGGCCGGGCGGGCAGCCACTGTGTCCCGAGGGCCTGGAGAGCCTGCGGAGCCTCCAGCTGCTGCTCTTCCTCCAGGAGCTTCGCAAGAACCCTGGCCTGGAGCCCAAGGGGCCGCCGCGTGGGGCCTCCCCTGCCCAGGGTGGTGAGCACGTGTGTCCGTAGGTGTGCACATGTGGACATGTGTATGCTCATGTGTGAGATGTGTACCTTTAAAACGTAAACATCTTGGGGCTTCCCTGGTGGCGCAGTGGTTGAGAGTCCGCCTGCCGATGCAGGGGACGCAGGTTCGTACCCCAGTCCGGGAGGATCCCACATGCCGCAGAGCAGCTGGGCCCGTGAGCCATGGCCGCTGAGCCTGCGCGTCCGGAGCCTGTGCTCCGCAACGGGAGAGGCCACAACAGTGAAAGGCCCGCGTACCACAAAAAAAAAAAAAAAAAGTAAACATCTTGGCTCTGTCCCCTTAACCTTTCTTCCCGTGACCGTCCCCACGAGAACCCACAGCCTGTTCCCAGGAGCTAATGGCGGTGTCCTTGGGTGTCCGTCATTCGTTCCTTCAGCCTTTATTTTGTGCCCCGCATTGCCCTGACCATCAGGGAGCTGTCCTTCCAGTGAGAAGGATGGGGTAGCACACGGGGTGGGGCGCGAGATGCAGAGGCTGCCAGAAGCTCGCCCGGGGCCGTGAAGTCCGCAGAAGGGGCGCCTGGCCCAGGGGGAAGCTTCTGGAGGAGGATGTCTCTGAGCCGAAGGAGCAGCTCGTTTCTCGGGCCGAGGGCTGCAGGCAAGCGGGGCAGGGCCGTAACCGAGTCTGCCGCGGAAGGCGGGGCAGTGGGCACAGCCTGGGGAGGCCTCGGTGCCAGGCTGGGTGCAGCTGGGGCTCCTTCACCAGGATGAGCTGCTGCCGTCAGGAGGCTGAGGGCCAAACACACCCAGTCATTTTCGGAAAGAGACCAGATAGAAGTGAGGGTCGTGGCACCTGACGGCATCAGCATGGCGTGAGCCCAGCGTGTCCTCGGTCAGCAGGAGACCTACGGCTGAGGATTCTTTCGGGGCCGCAGGCTGGGTCCCTGGGCTGCAGCGCCCGAGCTCGGGAAGCACAGGGAGCCCCCAGCCCTGTGCACGCTGGGGTCCCCACCCTGGGATTCAGGGTTCTCTTTGCCTGTACCTGAGTCCTGAACTGGAGCTCCAGGCTCCTGCACGGAGGAGAGGATTCTGAAGTTCGGTGGGAAATCAGATACCAGGGTGTGCGCACGCGCGTGTGTGAAAGAGCTTATCAATGAAGGAATGAATAAATTTGTTAACTCAGAATTCCTGGCGGTCGACACGTTGCTATAGGTCAAGAAGTTCCTCGTGGCAGAGGCCTTTCTCGTGGTGAGGTTGTGGCTGGTAGCAGCAGGCCTTCGAGGCCCAGGCCCCGGACGGTGCTTAGCTCACAGCCAGCCCGCTGGTAGCAGAGGACCAGGTGCGGGAGTGCTATAGACTGGCGTCAGTGTCCCCGCAGATCCTGAGGTTGACACCTAATTCCCTGTGTGATGGTGTTGGGGAGGACCTCTGGGAGGAGGTGAGGGCATGGGTGGGGCCTCGTGGATGGGACGAGTGCCCTTCTGGGAGACCCCACAGGGCCCCCTCGACCTTCTGCCGTGCGAGGACACAGCGAGATGGCCGTCTGTGAAGCAGGAATCTGCCGGCACCTTGACCTTGGACTTCCAGTCTCCAGCACCGTGAGGGGTGTTTCTGTCATTGATAAGCTGCCCAGTCTGCAGTGTTCCGTTACAGCAGCCCGAGCGGACAAAGACGGGGACAGAGGAGCTGAGCCTTCCCATCCACCAGCCTCTGAGGCACCATCCCTCTGATGATACAGGTGGGTGTCATTGGGTCCAGACTCCCACAGGCTTTCTGAGACATTCCCCCTGCTTTCAGTCAGTGCGTGTTCAACATGCAGAGTGTGGATTCCACAGCCGGAGCCGGGGCTCTGCCGTGTGGCAGGATGGCCAGCCCACGTGGTCCTGGTCCCGGGAGCACACTCTCCATGTGGATCTCCTTCCCCACAGACCTCAGATTCTTGTTTTGCCGGCCTTTGAGGCCAGATGTCCCCAGTTGGCATTGTCCACTATGTTCCCTTTATCAGCAGGGCTCCTGCCTTTTTTCGTAACAGCTTTACTGAGATAGGATTCACAGCTCATACAACTCACCATGGACCCTGTACAGTTCAAGGCTTTAGGGGCTCAGAGTTCAGCAACCTTCCCCATAATCAGCTTTGGAACATTCTTCTTATGCCTCCAAAGAAACGCAGCCCCTAATCATGACCCCAAACCCCAACCTCCCGTCGATAGGCAAGCACTAACTTCCCTTCCGTGGTGTGCCTGTGTGGGCGTGGCGGGTGTGAACGGAGTTGTGAAGGTCCCCAGGTGCTCAACCTTGTTCTGCCCACTCTCCCTCCCCTCCCCCAGAGCCCCCAGTCTCACACTGGTCTCAACTGGCGCAAGTGCTGGAGATTCCATCAGCCTGAATGTGGTGTCAGCCATTTGCCAAACACCAAGAGCATCAAGTGTGAATCGTGCTGCTCTGAACCTCGGCTAATAAAATCCTGCCTCACCCAGAGAGGCCCTCCAAGAGCCCACATCCTGCAGTCTGTGACCGCCACCCTGGACTCCTCTCTTCGACAGAGTGACAGAAGGGACTCGAGGAGGAAGGAGGACCCCCGGCCACATGACCCTCGTGAATGTCCACGGCTTTTCCTGTAGGAAGACGAGGAATGATTGCGTGGGGCTATGGACCTTGCCGGATTCGTTGGTTCTGAATCAGCTTCTCTTTTCTGCTCAGGTTTTGGAGGGGCTTTTGTTCATCCCTTAAATGTCCACTCGGCAGGTTCAGCCGGGCCTCTGAACGCCAGGTGTGATGGATTTTACTGATTGCCTGCTTACCTTTGAATCGGAAAGAAGGGGGAGTATTAATTAGCTCACAGAACGATGGCGGTTTCCATCCTACAGCCTTTGCACTCCGCGGGGGGCAGTCTCCCCTCCCAGGTAAACAACGGAGGGGCCTTCCTGCGACGACCTGCCCGGTGAGGGCCCAAGTGTGCTGAGCGGCCTTGCCTGTCAGAGGAACGGGGAAGGAAGGGAGAAGCCTAGTCCAGTGCCCCCCACACCCAGGCACCCTTTCCTGGGGGGAGCCACCTTCGGTTGTTCACGCCTAAGTGTGACGCAGTGTCCTGGCTCCTTCCCTTCCTGAGAAGAGCGTCTGCCTGCGGCCTGACTGGGGGCCTGCGGGACTCAAAGGGTGTGGATCCAGCCCCTGCTTTTTAGCCAGGGCCGCACAACGGAAGGGAGGCCACATCCGAAGGCTGCTCGCGGCCGACGGACGTGGTTCAGACCCGGATTCCCTTCCTGACCGCAGTGCAGCCTCCAGCAAGTGGCTCCATCCTTCTGGGCTCGGGGATGGAGGGGAAGCCCCCCAGAGGGGCTGCGAGGACCCGGAGGGGCCGGCCAGCAGAGTACAGGCCCCCGAGTCCCCCGACCCCAGGCCGGCTGCAGGGCCAGACTCACCCGACACGACCTCCCCTCTTGAGCAGGTGAGGGGCAGCTCAGCCACGAGAAACGTAGTCAAGGTGGTCACCTTACCGTCCATCCGCATTTAGGGAGAAATGAAGACACGGTCTTTGCTGTTCTGAAACTATTGTATGTGTAAGTTTTGTCCCCGTTATGATTGTGAATGTCTTGACGGAAAGGACCGTTTTTGCACATATCGCCCCATTACCGCAGCCTGTGAGGGAGGGGACGTCGCTGCTGTCTTATAAGTGAGAGAAGGCCCTGGAGGCCAGGTGGTACCAGCGCCCAGCTGCGGGGGGGGCAGGCAGGGCAAGTGAGGTGGGCCCTTGGCCTCACCGTTTGAATAGCCCCTGAATAGCACCAGCTGTTTCTGTGCTAAAGACCAACGACCGTAGTCTTTTTTTTAAATTTATTTTTGGCTGCGTTGGGTCTTCGTTGTTGCGGCGAGCGGGGGCTTCTCTTGCTGCGGAGCACAGGCTCTAGAGCGCAGGCTCAGTAGTTGTGGCACACAAGCTCAGTTGTCTCATGGCATGTGGGATCTTCCCGGACCAGGGCTCGAACCCATGTCCCCTGCACTGGCAGGCGGATTCTTAACCACTGCGCCACCAGGGAAGTCCGACTGTAGTCTTATCTTTATGCAGACCCCATGTTCTCTTAGACTCCCCAGACCCCGTTGTGTTGAAAACAAAACAAGCATGGCCTGTTCTCCTTTGTGATAAGCATTTCTGCTCCTGGCTGGGGAGAGAAGGGCAGAGCATTTAAAAAGTCATTTCTCAGCCCTTCCCCCACTAACGAGTTATTCTCAGAAAGAAGGAGCGAGAGCCCAGGAGCTGGGGAATCACCCTCGGGCTGAGAGCCCAGGGGACTTGGCTGTGCTGAGGAAGCCTGGCTGGGCCACACCAGGCCGGCCGGGTCAAGAGCCCGCCAACCACCTGGAAGGAAGTAGCCAAGGTGCACCCATAACGTTAACACAGACCCGCAAAATGATGACAGATGCCACGGTGACATTTAAGAGTTTAGTAAGGAAACCAGGACAGGAAAGATCTTAAAAGAAACTACACAGGAAGCTTGTCACAAGTCTCAAGTTTTTTATTTTCAGAACAGAAGCTGGTTTTATTTTTAAAAAGAGAAGGAGAAAAGAACGTGATAAATGCCAGTGAGGTGCCACTTCCGTCCTCCAGGCTCTGACTGCCAGCTCGCTCTCTTCCACAAAAACTCATGGACTCGGAGCCGTTCTTAGAGAAGGTCTGGCCCAAGCCCTTTCCAAAAAGATAAGGAGTCCGAGGCTCAGGGGAGGACGGCCTGACCTGCCCAACGTTAGAGGCGGGCAGCCCGGGACCCGAGCCCAGCTTCTTCTCCTCCGTGACCGGCACGGCGGGCGCGGGCACGGGCCCGGGGACGCTAGACACACCACAGCATCTCTGGTTGGACCCCGCGCTACAGGTGTTCCTAGAAAACAAGAAAAATGAAACTTTCGGGGCATTTCTTTTTGTGAATGAGGCAAGGGAAGTAAGTAAAAGGACTCAAGAAAAACACACCAGAAGGAAGGGGCTGACGCCCTGAGCACAAGTGCTGGCACCAAGTGTCGGGAAGAGGACATCTGTCCCGGGGTGAGTGCGGCTGGCAGCCGGACCGGAACAGGCCTGGCCTCTGCCAGACCAGCCGGGTGCCGGGAAGTGCAGCTCACCGGAACCCACCACAGCCTCCCACCAGAATACCCGACACCCTGGAGGTGTTGCAGCAGCGGTCACTCAGCAGGGAGACGGCCATCCAAACAGGAGAAGGGGGTGGGGCAGGGGGCCGGCCTGGGGCCATGGCTCGGACACAAAGTCCTTCTCGGTCACTGAGATTAGGTAGCAGAGAAACAGCAAAGCTGGAGAGAGGGTGTGGGAACAGAGGGAGCAGTTCCTGGGACCCCCAGAATCTGGGCCCCAGAACTTTGACCACATGAAATTCAAAGGGCAAGAAGGGGGGTCCTGGGGAGGAGAGAAGGCAGGAAAAGAACAATTAGTTGCAAAATCCAACCAGCTGATCCTGGACCTGGTGGGCAAGGGGCTGGGAGCAGGGACATCGAGTGCAAACATGTTCCTCCCTCCCCGCACCGCCACCCATGAGAGCAGGGAGGCTCAGGCCATCAGCCCCGTCTGTGTGTGTCTTCTGTCAACAGCCCCCAAGAAATTGAGAGAGAGGAGCCCCAAGTGCAAAACGGAGGCCCAGAAAGCGAAAGTCATGTGTCACTGAAGCTAGTGGGTGACGGAGTAAAAGCCACAACCCATGACCTCTGACCCTGTGTCCAGAGTTTATTACGCCACACAGAGCTCCCCAGGCACAAGGAGGGAGGGAAACAGATTCCTACAACCTCCCCCAGCCCCATCCTCCCGCAGGGTGGAGGGGAGTAGGTGCCCCTGGCCTGGCTCTCAACTCTTCCTGCACTCTGACCTCCCCCCAGAATACTCATCCTGCCTCAAAGATGCCGAGAGAGGTCCTACATCAAGACTGTACGTGGGCAGCCCCTGGATGTGACCTGTCACTAGGGAGGGAGGCTGGGCCGGGTGGGGCTTAGCCACCCTACTCCACGCAGCCTGCTTTTCCCTAGAGGCTCCCGTGACCAGAGCAGAGGACAACGGTCACCACCGCCCTTTCTCATGTATACCATGCTTCCTAAAGGAAGGACAGGTGGGGAGGTGGATTTCCTACTCCTGTGGGCCCATGGGAGGCCCAGCTCACATGGTTTTCTATCCAGAAACCCCACCAAAGCTGTTCTGAGCCAAGATCTGACCCAGCCAGCAACCAGCTGCAGGAAGGATAGGAGTCATGGGCACATTTGGAGGGAGAGAGGGAGGGCAGCCAATGGCTGACCCTCCGCAGACCCTGTAACAACACTGGCACCGAAGCCCAGCTGGACCCAGTGGCCACGTTGAATGTGGCATCTGGGTATTTGTCCTTATGCTTTGCAAGCAGCACCAGTGTGTGATGTGATGCAAGTGGAAAGCACGGAGGTAGTAACACCCAAGAAAAGGTGTAGTTTGGTCCTTAGAGTATGGACCCTCCCCTCCCCCCAGCTGAGAGGAAAGGAGTGGCATTGAGGAAGATCCTGGGTGAGCTTCTCCCTCGGAGGAGGGCCACTGGGCAGCCCCCAGGAGCCCAACTCTGTCTGGGAATTCATGGCCACAGATTCAGGTAGGAATGAGGAGTGTGTGGTGGGGAGGACCGGGCCTCCCCAGATCTCCTACTGATTGTGAGGGGCACAGGTTGGAAACAACACACGCGTGAATGCGCACGCATGTGCGCACACACACACACACACACACACAGACTTTGCATCTACCATCTGGAAGAAATGCAATGGACACATCAGGGGAGCATGGGATTCTGGGTCATTTCAAGATGTGGGTCAAGGACCACTAACCACAGCCTAAAAGAAGCTGGCACGTCCAAGCAAGGGGGGTGGCCGAAGGCCCTGGGCCCCCCTTTCCTCCATTCTGCCCCGCAAGGGAGAGGAATCAGAGGAGGTGGGAGAAGCAAGAAGCAGAGGTGCCCCGCCCCTGGAGGGAAGGATTGGGGAAGGGCGTTGAGAGAAGAGAGCCGGCGACCCTCCTCCCTCTCTTTAGCGGCTGGCTCCTTCCAAGCAGTCTTGACCCAAGGGGTTCAGAGGGGCGCGCTGGCTCTCAGCCCTGTTTACAGTTACCTCCCCCAAACAGAGGCTGATCCAGTCTGGGTGAGGGAAGGTCGCAGGACAGGGAGCGGGGTCTCCCAACTCCAGAGCAAGCCCCCAGACCCCTCAGTTTTGGGAAGCCACAGCCAGGGTGTTGACGTAGCCGTGGGCGCCCCCCTCATCCTCCAAGACGCAGTGGCCCAGCTGGGGGGCTCCCGGCACCAACGGGGCGGAGGGCGGAGCGCCGTAGCCTGCCCGAGCCCGACTCGGGGACGCCGGGGTCTCCCTGTCCCAGCAGCCCTCTAGGGCCTCCAGGCCGCGGCAGCCGAGGAAGAAGAGGTTCTTGAGCATGAAGACGGAGAGCGGTTGCTGGTAGCTCACGGCCAGCAGGCAGCGCAGCGCCAGCAAGGGTACGTCCACGAGGCAGCCGCCCAGCAGGCGCAGCAGGCGGCTGCAGCCTCCCGGCCGCGAGGCCCGGCCCCGGGGCGAGGCGGCAGCGGCGTGGAGCTCGTGGAGCCAGAGCACCGGCGAGGCGAGCGCGAGGAAGTAGGCGGCGAGGAGCAGGTAGCGCAGGTGCGCGGGCAGCGGCGCGCGGCCGTCCAGCATCAGCTCCACCAGGGCGGAGCTGTCCAGCAGGTCCAGGCACGTGCCCAGGAAGCAGCCGGCGGCGCGGTGCCGCTGGGGCTGCAGGAGCAGGGGGCCCGCGGAGCCGGGGGTGGCGCCCGCCTCGCCGATGGCCCGCACCAGGCAGTAGAGCAGCGGCGCCGACAGCGCCAGGGTGAGGCGGAAGCCCGTGGTGCCGAAGGGCGCGCGCAGCTCGATGAGGTCCAGGATGGACGTGCCCAGGATGAGCACCACCTTGGGCGTGAAGGCGATGGCCC